TCCATCGGAACCGGTCCTGCATAAAGTGGGGGAATTAGCTGCCCTCCTCCGAAGTGTGCCAGCCCTGCCTTACCTGGGAATTTGGGTTTCTTCTCAGGGGGGGTTCCTAGCTCAAAGTGCCTTAGCTTGGGAGGGGGTGTTACAGGAGTGGTGAAGTGGGCCGGAATGGTGTCCTGGCCGTCTGCCTCTTCCTTGACCTGAGTCAGCGGGTCTGGAATGGTGGCGCCTGAGGTACCAGGCTCCTCCTCCTTCTCTAGGAGAGCTGTTGGCGCTTCATCCCCAATATCAACACCATGGATATCGGCTGCACTGTTAAGTTCAGCTGTTCTCATGAGTTCGTCTTCTTCTTCTTCTGCGATTAAATCCACCACAACAGGCTGCATCAGATCAGCGGCAATCCCTGACATGACAACCTTAGGCAGTGATATCAGGACTTGGACAGAGGGCGGGTTCAGGTCACCCTTACTCACCCCTTTTTCACTAATGGGCACTGGATGCAACGAGCCAAAATCTTGAGCCATTTTGTGGGTTTAGGGTTGAGGGTCTAGGGGTTTGAGGGTACTAGGGCAAAGTTGGCTCATGACTGCATTAGCCTGCAATTCTGCCACGGTTTGTTGGATGGAAAACGTACAGAAAGGAAAATTAAAAATCCCTGACACTTGGTCTATGGAAGGCAGTACATGACTTTGTTGCATCCTAGAGTACGACCCTCCCGTCTCTGACTGCCGCTAAACAATAATGACCCCAAATGACATCCATTTTGCCCAAAATTAAAGTCTGTTTCTGCATTTGACTGACTCAAAGCCTGACATGGCTTGCTCTTCCCTGAGAAGTGGGTGAAGATCTGCTGGTTCAGCGGCTGGTGTGGGTGAGAGGGGTAGACCAAGTCCTGCCAACCAATTGGCCCAGCGGTTGGCCCAGGGAGAGGGCGTTCGGAAACAGCGTCTTACCCAACATGACTGTGAGAACGCTTTGCAAGGGCAGAACTTAAGATTGGATCTAGTCTAGGCACGAGTTCTCCAAAATGGGGGCGGTGAATGCAACAGATCCTTCAGGGAAGTAGGGCTTCTCAGTACAAGAAGCTTCTGCAAACACGCAAAATAACAAGTGTTCACCACGATGTAAGACGGCAACCATTCTCATCGTAGCGGAGTCCAGGACAATGCTGCTACAAAATCATTTAGCTAGCGTACCAGTTGCCTTGAGGAACTCAAGCTACGCAGTCCTGGGCAAGCTCATGTCCCACCTTCTGTAGCTGCACGAAGTACGTGTACCTCAGCAGTGGCAACTGAGTGTGACCGAACCTGGCACTGGTAATCCATGCATGCGCGGAGCAATCCCAGAAATCAAGCCATGAATAATGACAAACCAAGGCAGTATTTCCTTTTCGGCAAGCAAAGCAAAGATAAGGAGACTGCTACAATCCTCCGCGCTCCCTTGATGACCGCCAAGTGGCAGACCTCCCTGGGTCTTGTCCCAGTGGGTAGCCATCCTGGGTTGGCGTTCAGGAACTGTCATTAAGCTAAAACAACAGGTTCCCCTCGAAGGGGCTATGTAGGGGATAGATGGGAATTGAACAGGATAGGGAATCCACATTCTTTACCATATCCACACTATGGTATCTGAATTTACGCTCCTGAAAACCAACCCAGCTTCGACACATCCGGAATGCCCGTGCCGTTCCAGCCGTGGCTTTCCGTGACTTTCTTGGAGCCATCCTGGGCAACTTGCTGGCTGTTGGTCAGTAGGGCCCCGAACAAAGGAAAAGAACATGAAAGCTGCAACTGAGATTTTAGGGTGTAGGGGTTGGGGTTGAGGGTTTAGGGATTGGACAAGAAAACGGAAGCTACTGTATGTATACTGCTTGTCGTTATATGAGCTATAGTCTAACACACCTAGCATCGCCCTTAACCACCCATATAACCGTCCCCTATCTAATCCCCTATATAGCCCCCATTAAGGAGTTTGGACTACAGCTCCTCTATAGGGCTAGTATGGGAGATCCTGACCTCCCTTCACTGCGCGAAACCAGAAAGGCAAACTTTAGGGCTTAGGGTTTTGGGGAAGATGAACTCGAACTTTACTAAAGCTGGTGGTGACATGTTTGGGGATTTCCCAAGGTTAGGGGTACCTTTTTGGGCCTTCCCATCATAAGGACTATGATGTATTGGGGTACATAAAATGGACCCTAATTTTGGAAAACTGCCAGGTTTGGGGAGATGGGTGCGACAATGTCAGAGGAAAGGATTGCAACAATCAGGCAAGATCAGAGGCCCAACCCTGAAGACAAAGCACTTATTCCCTGCCCCTGCCTTCATCTCAACAAACCGGATAGTCAGAATGCCTCAGTATGAACAGCTTGCTGTCAACAATCTGGCAAAAGCCGGAAAAGTTGACGGTTTCCTTCTGCACCAGGATTTGGGGTGACGCTGCGATCAGTCCCCATCAAATTTGAAACTGGCATCCCAGGCGAACCAGCTGTTGTGCAGCATTTGGGTGATGCCTGCGCCACACATGAAGCAGCTCAAAATGGTACAGTACCCGAGTTCCGTTTGTACGATCCCAACATATCACAGCAGACCCCAGATGCTCTCCAGGTATGTGTGACATGCCCCTCAACCATCATCCAAGGATTTGACATCTATTTGGGCTTAAGAAGCTCAAACTCTTCAGCCATCGCCCTGACGCTAGGAACCTCTCCAGTGCTCTAGCGACACGTCGAAGGCGAAGAGGCCCGAGTTGAGAAGGGACGCTCGCCCTCGGCAGTAGCCCAGGCGGCCCCGAGGCACCTAAGGGTAGAGCCAAATTTGCATTGGAGAGTATCCACCATAGGCATACCAAGGAAGCTGCAACCTTACGGTCATGGGCCATGCACATGCGCGGGGTACCAGGAGCTCCAAAGATCCTAATGCCAGTGACCAAGAAGTTGCTTCCCTATGTGTCTATTGCCGAAATTACACACAAGCAATACGACTCAGTACGACCACATGAAGGGAGACAAGGAATCCAGGAGCCCAGCCAAGGCCATTCACATAAAGCCGCTTGGGGGGAATGAGGAAGCAGAACCTGCCCGAGCAGAACAAGCCCGTGACCATCTGGGCAAGCCACGGCATCGAAGATAACCTCCGGGTTCCTGTGTGCCAGGAAGTCACAGTCCAAGTACATGGCCCGTATCAGCCCCAGGTTGGCAGCCACTTTGAAGGCCAAGAACTTGTTCCAATCGCTCTCCTGGTATGCCGTCGACCTGCAGGTCAGGATCCACGTGTGGCATGGGAAAACGTCCTCAGGACGCCGCTTCTAGACTTAGATTCACATACTGCTGGAATTCTACCTGTCGCTCCCGGTAGAAACTGGCATCTAAGCTGTGTCAGTTTGCGGCTCCAACCTTGAAAACAAGTTCAACTGCCACTGAACTGACTGCTCGTGCATGCAGCCATATGACAGCGGACCCTACGCGAAAAATGCTGCAACTCTAGAACTGAAATCCTGGCGACTGCGACGACGACGACAGCCACGACAAGACGAACTGCGGTGAAAACAGGGAGAAGTCTGATAGCCGCTGCAGTGATGACAGCAAACGCATTCATGGTATCAGTCGGACTTGGGGCAGGAATGCTAGCCACCATCGTAATGGGTCCCCTGACTCTAGCAACCACGGAACATCACACGATAACATCTGCGGCCCGGAAGAGTGTACGACTTCAAAGACTGGAAGTATGTCGGGCAAGAACAGCGCAAACAGCGTAACGGCAACGTACAACAAGCGCCAGTATTCCGGAACATACAGCCTCAGCGTCTTGTGGACACCTCCCGGAACCTGGGATGCCGTACTCTCCTGCCACAGAAGATTCTGCAGGCCCTTCCGTTACAGTATATGGTCCCTGGAAAGAAAGCGCTACTGCTCAGCCAGAAACAGAAATACGTGATTTTACTTGTAGGGTTTACACAGTCGCGATGAGGCATTGTAACTGCATAGACGGCATAGCCGTTCTCTTTGGGATAATTTGGCAAGGATCTTCGTGGAGCACAGGTGGACCTTCACCGGCTTCTACGGGGACCGGGGACCACACGAATGAAATAAAACAAAGGCTGACAAGGGCATCCTGATGGGGGAGTCAGGAAGTTGACAGTGGCTATCAGGAGGGGATCGGGTTAATATTCCTTCAGAATCTGCACGCGTGCACTTGGTTCGCCTGACAGACGCCTAAGAATTCTGCTCTAAGATCAGACATGTACCTGAACCCTGCACATGAACATGAAGACTCCCCTCACACCTCCTAAAATACTAGGATTTGCCTTTTGCAGCCTTTCACCCAACATGAACCCTCAGCTCGGATCCTCATAGACCAACTTGGAATCTGTCCGATCAAAAGCTCGTCGTAGGTGATCCTCAAGCAATAAAGGACCACCGAGGGCAAGAACCCGAATTCAGAACAAGGATCCATAGGACCTGATGGGGCGTTCTGGGCATTGCGCAGGATCTTGTAGTGAATTCAATGGGCTTTCATGTCAGTCGAAACAGGATCTCTGGTTGTCATTATTCAGTCGATTTGACAAATACACGCAGGCATGCATGTATGGGCGTGGATGTATGTGGCTACTTGCAGTTAAGTTGACTTCCTGGGGCAGTTCTTGCAAGGACCCCACAACTCGGCACGCGTCTGTACCGTTACGGTTGAAAACTATACAATTGAAATCATGCGGAGGCTTGTCAGTTAAAAAGACCCATGACGTTGAGAAACTGTCATGAATACTGAAGAACTTTGATGCCAACCGTTTTGAATCTGGAAACTACGTGTATGCCAGGCACCGCAACGTGACTAAGAAACCCCTTTTCCAAATAATTAGTGGCCTTGCAATCTACATGCATCCATAGAATTTCGTATCCTATTTGGAGGAAAATGGGTGGTTGTCAAAATTATGGTCCCTTTTTGGATCCCTACAATAATACAGCACCTAATATCTAGGGTACCCAAAAAGGGGCCATAATTTTGACAACCACCCAAATGACCTGCATTATCCCAGTTTCCATGTTATTTTCCGCTTTCTTTTGATGTGGTTCTGCGTTGTTGGGGGTAACTGTTTGAGGATGGCTGAGCCACCCCCTACATACATCAAGGATTCCCCCCAAATAAAGTAAAGAGGTTTCCCAAAACTAGGGGTACTTTCTTTGAAAGGGTTCCCACAAATAAGGATCATAGTATCTGGGGGGTCTATATTGGGATCCCCCTACTGTGGTAAACTACCATAACTGTATGCTTAGCATTGTCACAGGGAGGGTCTTATTCAACCGTCTGCAGGAGGAAATTAAGTGTGGGGGTGGAGAACAAAGCTGAAGGCACAAAAGGATGTGCAACTTGACGCCACCCAATCTCGTCAACCACTCCTTTTGCACAAATTTAGCTAGGTTTGGACCATTCCTTGTTGTGAAACGCACAAGAAGCAGGGAGAAGCGCATCAAGTAGATGAACACATGGGTCTCGGGCTAATCGCATCATCTTCGGCATAACCGTCACATTGGGGATGAATTACAGGAATGCTTGGGCGAAGCTTCTCTCCCACGGCCAGACTGTTGCTGTCGCCACCTGACAATCCATGTCCCCAGGTCACTACGGATCCATCCCCCAATAGCGCAGCAAATGCATGGGTGGTGGCCTGGATGTGCTGAACATTTTTCAAGTATTGTTTGACCGCACTGCAATCACCTCCGAAGCGTTTTTTGCCCCAGCTGATCGTGGATCCGTCGCCCGTAACTGCAGCAAATGCATAAGCATTAGCCTGGATCTGCAACACATTCACCATCAGATCGGACCACAAATTACTGCCGCCAGAAGCTGCAAGGCCCCAAGTGACAACAGATCCACTTTCCAGGAGCGCAGCAAAGGCACAGCCATTGCCTTGTATGTGTCTTACAGTCTTGAGCTGAGCTTGCACCCTGCTGCTGTCGCCACCAAACGTATTCTTGCCCCAAGTAGCCACAGATCCGTCGTCTAGGATTGCTGCAAATGCATATGCAGTTGCTTGGATCTTCTGAACTTTCTGCAGCTGGCTTTGCACAACAGTGCTGTCGCCGCCAAAGTCCGAAGAGCCCCAGGTTATCACAGATCCGTCGCCGAGGATCGCAGCAAAAGCGGCGGAAGTGGCCTGGATCTGCTGCACTTCCTTCAGCTGAGCTTGCACTGACCTGCAGTCGCCACCGCACCTGGGGTCACCCCACGTGATGACGGATCCATCGGCCAGGATCGCAGCAAAAGCTCTGCTCGAAGCTTGAATATCCTTTACATCACTAAGTTGACCTTGCACAGCACTACTGTCACCACCAAGATCAGGATGGCCCCAGGTTACCACAGATCCATCTGCCTTGATTGCAGCGAATGATTGCTGATTTGCTTGAATCTTCCGTACATTCGTCAGCTGAGCCTGAACTGCGCTGCTGCAGCCACCACCGCCACTGTCCCCCCAGGTGACCACAGATCCATCGCCCAGAATGGCAGCAAATGCACGAGCAGTGGCTTGGATTTGTTGCACATTTACCAGCTGAGTTTGCACGCTGCTGCTGTTGCCACCAAGGTGAGCTTTGCCCCAAGCAGCCACAGAACCATCGCCAAGAATCGCAGCGAAAGCGGATGCAGTGGCTTGGATCTGCAGCACGTTCTGCAGCTGTGCTTGCACATCGGTGCTGTCACCGCCGTAGTCAGCAGAGCCCCAAGTGACCACTGTTCTATCTCCCAGGATGGCAGCAAAGGCAGCATCATAGCTGACATCACTTGGCCAATGCCTTGTTGTCGCTATTTGAACTTGCTGGATGTGCAGGGTCAAGGCATCTCCACTTTGCAACCTACACTCTCCAACAGTGGCCGTTCCTTCTAGCCCCCGGCCAGAAGAATGCAGAAGCCGTCCTGGGCCAACCCCCAACGCAGCCTTTGCACGCTGCTTCAGAGAGTCAATGGAATCAGTCACTTCTGCCTCCAGAGAAACGCTTTTGCCGCTTATCAAAGCCACTTCAACCACAACTGCCATGCGCCAAGAGGCGGTCGAAAGATGCCCTGGAAGTTAAATCATAGCAGGAAAGCTCCTGTAGGTTTTCAGGTTAAACTATCGTCTTTCAAACTGAATCATGCTATCCGTGTGCTGCTGGACATCTATATGATTGGACTGCTTTTTGGGGCGAGTTCCGTGTCAAAGCGACAGCTTGCTTCAAGCTGTCTATCTACTACAGCGTATCGTTGCTGTGTAGAGGCGCTTTGGGGCATAGCTTCGGCATCTTCGGAAATGCATGTCATCTGGCATGTCATCTGAAGCCGCAACACTGCTGAGCATAAAAGACAGTGCTTCATGAACAGGGTCGGGCTTTAGGGGAGGATCGTGCGAAGAGCAAGTCCTTCCAAACTGGACCATGTTCCCAACGTGACGGCTACATGTTGCTTGTCAGGTCAGGTGACTCAACCATATCAGGGGCCTGTATGTGCTTCAAGCATTGATTACGAATTCTTAGGAACAGGACCAGGTCAACGGGCGTGCTATGGCATAAGCACATCCCCGAGTTGCTGATACAGTGAACAATGGTAGTCTCCCTAGACCCCAATACAGACCCCAAAAATACAATAATCATTATCATGGGGACCCCAAAATGGTACCCCTGATTTTGGGAAGCCCCCCAAATCTGACAGGCGGAAGGCACCTGCAAGACCAGGCCCTCGCCAACATGGATGTAGACCAGCGTAACACGCGATCCCGCGGCGCGGATCGAGGAGAAGAGTACCAAAGCCTGGTGTAGTTTGGCAACATA